CTACACTACAGGACGCAGAGGTCAGTGTGTAGGAGAAACAGGGGCTACACTACAGGACGCAGAGGTCAGTGTGTAGGAAAGAGGGGGGCTACAGTGCAGGACGTGAAAGTGCAGGACGTGAAAGTCAGTGCGTAGGAGAAACGTGGGCTATAGCACAAGACACAGAGGTCAGTGCGTAGGAGAGACAGGAGCTACGCTACATCTTTCTCCATGGAGGCCTGGTGCTTCTTGAGTAGCTTCTCCATCTCTGCAGCAAAGCTGCTCCTCTGTGTCTCCAGCTCCTTGTCCAGCCGCAACCGGTGCTCGTCCATCTCAGCCTTCAGCTTGTTCTCTAGCGCCATCAGCTGCTTCTGGTGCTGCCGCCGCATGCGCTTGTATCCCGACATCTGCTCCCGCAGCTCCGAGTCCTGCTCGTGCTCCTGGGCCTGCCGCGTCACCTGGGAGAAACACAGGGAAGAGATACAGAAATGGGATGGGGGCAGGAGGAGGCATGCCGATCCCTCTGCTCATCCTCCACTGTACGGGGGGTGTCGAAAAGAGGCGAAAACATTTTAATCACAGAGGGAGGAGGAGGGAGCCAATAAGAGACCCATCTGATCTGAAGTCAAACACAAGTACCAGTCAGATGGGGTGTGTAACCTTTATTAAGCCTCTAAGCCAATGATTCCCAATCCAGTCCTCGGGGGGGCCACAGTCGGTCCATGTTTTTGCTCCCTCTGAGCTCCCTGCCAGACAGCGGACTGTCTGTGGGTCCCTGAGGATCTGATTGGCAAACACTACCCTAAGCTGCAAACAGAGACGAGCTCGTACCAGAGAGGCGGTCCGGATGGTGGCGAAGTGCTCCCGGTTTCGGTGCGGCTTCTGCCGGGGCACCTGCATGGGGGCCGCCGGTGGCTCTGAGGGGCGGCTGCGCGGCTCCTGTTCCTCATGGTAACACTCCTCTTCCTCCTAATGAGACGAGGCAGGGTCAGTGCTAAGCATGATGCAGCTCGACTTTATTGCATATACTAGCAAAAAGTGTGTCCTGAAGAGGAAGTCCTTAGTTGTCCGAGTGCAGGACTCTTCTAAGAACTAGATGCAATGAGAACGATGACTATGTATTCCCCGGATGCCCCCCCATCTAATCCATAGTCCTCTCACACTCCCAACCTCTACAATCTCTAGTCCTCTATACCAGTGTTTCCCAATCTGATCCTCAGGGACCAGCAGACAGTCTATGTTTTGCTTGGTGGTAGCAAAAACATGAACTGGCCCGAGGACCGGATTGGGAAACACTGCTCTAAACACTCTCCCCACCTCTCCAAAAAAATCTTTTATTTACAAGCCCAGTTCTGTCTGTCTCAATGAAATCAAATTCACTAGCTCTGTGTCAGTGGCTGTCCTATCCTGTGCCACCACTAAGTAGCATTGCTTCCATTTTGGTGTGATTTGACTCAGAGCTCTGATCAGCTCTAGATCTTCACCCATACAATGTCACAGCAAATGAAAATGTTCTGTCTACAAAACACAAATAATCCCCCTCCGGCAGGGAGGCAGGTGGGCAACGCACCGGCTTGAGGTGGATGACGGAGCTGTTGGACATGACGGTGTGGTCGCCCTCCATGAGCTCAGACTCGCTGTGGTCGTCAGCGGCGCCAGCTGCATCCGGCAGGCTGTTGACGGAGCTGCTCTGGGAGCTGGCGCTGATGGACATGCTGGGGATGGACTGGTTGCTGCCCACGCTGCTCACGGTGCCCGTACGGCCCGCTCCGTGCTCTGGCTCCTGTTGGGGGTGGGCAGCACATCACAGAAGGGGCAGACAGTCAGCGATAGAAGAGTAAAAAGACTAATAAGGGAGACTTATTAAAAATGAAAGAAGAGAGACAGTAGGTGACATCAATAATACAAGGTGGCGGACCACATGATATTGAGAAAGGCACGGGCAAAAGGAGGGTCCTTAACCTCCCCCCCAGAAGCCGGTACAAATGGGCGGGGGGGGGAGGAAGAGAGGCCCACCTCCTCTCCATCGGGGGGCTCTGCCACAGGCCCGTTGGGAGCCTCCTGGAACAGGATCTTCTTCATCTTGCGGTACTGCAGGTTGTCCAGTTCTCGGACGGCATCCTTTGTCCTCTGGATCAGGTCCATCAGCACCGACTCAGGCCGCTCCCGCAGGAGAAAGGCATGCTGGAAGGAGGGGCATGGAAAAATATGTCCGGACGAACCATAAGTTCAGCCAGTTTTAGTCTTCAGTTTGTGATCTTCCCAGCAGAGCACTTGAGCATTACCTAGATGTGTGTTAAAACGGAGGCAGAGCTCAAAGGTGACAGGTCAGCCGTGACCTTTTCCCTTGATACTGGGATTGATACATCCCTGTGTCAGCATCTCACATTTCGAATATGGTTACATTTTAACTTCATAGTTCAATCACCTTTTTTCATAAAAGCTCCATCTAAAACAGTAAATTTCCTAATTTAATGTACTGTCATCACTCATCATATGAACTCATTCATCTAACGCTTATTCAAAACATCTCACAGTAGAGAGAAGAATTGCATTTTATGTGCGCTTTCTGGCATTTGAACCCACAACCTTTGCATTGTTAGTGCAACACTCTGCTTGTTGAGCTACAGGAGTCTGAGTCAACAGCCCACAGGCGCTATGACACACAGCTCCGCATTGAGGCATTTTAAGTAGCACGTGACCCGCATGTATGAGAAGGTACCACTGGATTGGAGTAAAAAAAACTGGAAGAATGGACGATGGTAACGGTAGCTGCTGGCCAATGTGACGCATGCTGGTTGAAGGACGTGCTGGGGACTGACCTTTAAGAGCTCCTCTGAGTGCGGCCTGTCTTGAGGGATTTTCTGAAGGCAAGAATCTACAAAGTTTCTAAAGTAATCCGACCTGAAGAGAGGGAAGGAAATAGGTGTAGATTAATATCTGGATTAAAATGGAACTGTGAACCCGAGTGTAACATCGCTATGTAATCCTCGTACTATGCAACCTAAGCCTACGTTATCACGTATATAACATAAGGCTAACTATGCCACCGGTACTTTCACTGCAGCTAAAGGACACCAAGCCCTCTGCTGGCTCTGGAAGCGGCTCTGGGTGACTGATGTTATCGTAGGGTTGGGCCCGCACTCACCATTCACTGGACTGCAGTGTGGGGCTCTCGTTCTGCGCTATGTGGTATAAGGCACTCATCGCGTTCATGTTGAATAGGGGTGGCTTCCTCTCCGCTGAAACCAGGAGGCATTAGAGAGGGGGGGTTAGGGAAAGCCTGGGGCTGGGCAGCCTCCCGTCAAAGACAAAAAGCTCCACGGAGGCCTTCATCCGGAACCAGAGACGCAAAACATTATAGAATCTCCGGCGGCGAATGGGGCGGGGGCACTTTCGGGGTGCCACGGATGGAGCAGTGCAGCCACGTAGCACCGAAACAGGGGAAGTGAGGGAGAGACAAAAAATAAGGTGGTGACCAGTGTCATATAAAGCGCTAAGTCACCGTAGAGGATGAACAGAAAGACAGAAGAAGTGTGAAGGAAGGAGCCACCTGGCGGTCAGGAGCGCAGATAGACATACGCGGCATGCATTCCTCACCTAACTCAATGCAGGTGATTCCCAGTGACCAGACGTCCACCTTGCCGTCGTACTGACCCTCGTCCATGGCCAGTATCACTTCGGGGGCCATCCTGAGGACGGGTTGGGGAGGGAGTGATTGCATTGCACTGGCTTGTCAGAGGACATGTTCCAAGCAACAGATTAAGCCCAGAGTGATCATATACGGATCTGTTAAAAACTAACACTGTCCCCAGACCTATGGTAGCAGATAACGGGGTCCCCTCAGCCCCCAATGAAGACATTTCTAAATTGGCAGGCCTTCAAACAGACACCCCAGCAAAGGATCCAATCAAGAGATGCAACGGAGGAAGGGCGGTCATCGCAAACCTTACCAATATGGCGTCCCCACAAAGGAGTTGGCGGGGGAGGCAATGGAAGCAGAGCCGAAATCTGCCAGCTTCACCTGCCCGGGTTCCGTCAGCAGGATGTTCCCAGCCTTGATGTCCCTGCAGGGCCCAGCGATGCAGTGAGGAAGGTGCAAGAGACACACATAACCTCAGGCAGCACACAGGTGTAGACACAATGGTATTCACCTGTGTATCATGTTGTGGGAATGAAGGTAGGCCAGGCCCTGCAGTGCACCATGGGTAATAGCGGCAATCTCCAGTTCTTGTAGCGGCTTCTTATGCACTGAAAAGGATGACAGAGAAAACATTAACCGCAACACACGACACAGGATGGAAATTAAGTCCGGAACCCAAACACTATGGGGAAATACCCTAACAATGACAACAATGACAACCTTAACCCGTACCCAGCCCTAAACTTAACCATAAGAAACCAAGCAAAATACAAGACTTTTGGCATTTTTAGTTTTTTTTTTTGAAATTACAGATTTTTATATTGAGCTTCTCCTTGTGGTCACCAAACTAAATGGTCCCCACAAGATCAAAATAAAAAGTTGCTGTACATTGTGGAGGCATTTGGTCCTTACAATGTAATATGTGCCTGACCCACACATGCACACGCACACACACACACACACTTTTCACACGTAGTGCTACAGCGCATGACATAAGTGACATAATTATATGACTAACTCCAGTGCCCTCCCCACTCTCACACAGCCGTCAATACGGGAATGACACGAGAAAAAGTTACCTTCCAGAAGATCGGAAGCAGAACCCAGGCAGTACTCCATGACCAGCTACACAGAGAGAGAATAGGCGAGTTGAAAAAAAAAACCGTCCTCTCAGCTAACTGGTCACATATCAGCAATTCCATCATGAATACAGAAGCACAGTCCCACTGGAGACAAACTGAGTGATTGCTCCATGGCCACGAGGGCAAAACAGTCCTTTTTAAGTGCACAGGGCATGTAAAATGCTAAAAAAAGAAATTGTTAAATGGCTGAGGCTCTACAATGTTATGTTTCACCACTAGGGGGGGGGGGCTTCCTCACTGCAGTCTGACTAAACAAGCAGTAGATGATACATATTTAAACATTCGAAACAATTAGGCCGACGTAAAGTCTCCCAGAGTGTAGGGGTCATGTCTCACCCAGGCGGTGTGCTCGCGGAGGTAGCAGCCCTTGTACTCAATGCTGTTGGGGTGCTGTATCCTCTGTAGGAACTTGACCTCTTTGATGATATCCTGCCATTTCTGGGGAGATTTGGGGGGGGGGGGGGGGGCGCAACACATGGTGTCAACTTCACAGCTCTGTCCACAAGGTTTACATTTACACCTCACCTGAGAGACATAATCAGATGGACATCAACAGTATTATGTAAATAGGAGATAAAGGAGACAACAAATGCAGGTAGAGGCTCTCTCTCTCTCTCTCTCTCTCAGGTGTAGCAGAAACCCCCAAAAAGCTTTCATCAATGCGATCACCTTTAAATATATTAGTCATACTCTGAAGTGACAAGAACCATGGAGGAGCAGCAAAATATTTCCATAGGCAACCTGTGCCTCCCACAGCTCAGTTTACATTCTTCACATAAACTTCTAAGAATGTCATTACATCAGCCGCCCTGTTCTATCAGAGGAGCTGAACTCGGGTTTGACTCACTATAACATACGCTGACCGGCAAGCAGATGGTGCGTAACAGGCAGACCTGTTTGCAGTTTAAGACGGGTCATAGATCCAGCAAGACTCAAACATGACAGTGAATACCCCAGAACGTCATCAGTGTGGCCTTTCAGTTGGTCATGGATTCTGAAATGCCAGGAGCCACACAAAAGGGTTTCACCAGGTAGAGCCTTAAAAGGAGAGCCGGTCATGAGATTCCATTTCTGTCAGCAATTCAGCTGTGCCACCTAATGTCTGAGCCTCTGCTCCACCCCCAACATCACCCATTTCTGATACACCCAAGCACAAAAGAGTAAGATATTATGAAGAACAAAGCCATTCCCATTTAACTACTTAGATGGATTCAGGGTGGATGCTTTTAGAAAGCTCTGGGGGGGGGGGGGGGGCTCACCTCGTTGGACTGCTTCCCGCTATAGGACATCTTCTTGATGGCCACCACTTCCGCGGTCCGCACATCCCGTGCCTAAGATGGAGAGAGAGGAAGACTCAGTACAGCAACGAGCCCGTAAGCAACCATCCAAGTATTGAATACAGAAGCACAGTCCCACTGATATGTACTGTACTACAGTACATTTTAAATAGGTAAATGGCCAAAACAGTGAACAGCCAGTGCACCACTGTGGTCAGTGAAGATGACAGGCTGTAGGCTACAGCGAAGTCTGTAGCGTGTGTTGGCTTGAGAATTATAAATTAAATGTAAAACTGTGAGCGTGTAATGCAACACAAATATAGGTTACAGTTCTAGCTGTAAACAGATGGACAAATTTTTCAAATTGTTACATATGCTGACGATGCTATTTTTTCTTTTTTTATCAGACATCTAATTTTTTTTAGGTTTTATTCACCTGAAAAGAAAAAATAGCATCGTCATAATTACTTTAAGACATAATGAATATAATTGAAAGAATGTTACATATGCTGGGAAGATACAACATTAATACCAAAACACTGGTATTGGTTTTAGGGTTGAAATGAGTGGCCACATTTAAACACTAAAATGGACTAGATGCTGTTGAAATAAGAACAATGTATTCCCCGAACATCCCCGTCACCCCCTCCAGACCCTACTACTCCGGCACCCCCAACCTCTACAATCTCTAGCCCCCCCTCCGCACACACACTCCCCCCATTTCACCAAAAAAAATCTTTATTCAAAGCCCAACTATGTGCGACTTTTCCCAATGTAATTAGGTTCACCAGATCTGTGCCTGAGACCTTTTCTTTGCTATCACTATGCGGTGATTTCTCTCAAAATTGCATCAGTTCCAGATCTTCAGCCATACAATGTGTCTGCATAATTTGAAAATGATCCATCAAATACTTTTTGAGTTATAATCTTAATGAAAAAAGTGTCTGTGCTAACGGCAGGCCAGTCCCTAAATCATCTGTATTCCCTGTCTGGGGAATACAATAACCAAATAAAAATAAACCCCAGTCACAGGCTTCTGCAAAGTGGAGTTAGGGCACTGCAAACCCCCGCTCACAAGCAGGTACGTACGAAGTAGACAGCCCCGAAGCTGCCATGGCCGATCTCACGTAGGTCAGTGAAGAGCTTCTCTGGGTCCTCCTTGAAGAAGAGCTCGGCTATTTCGGGGTCCTTCAGGCTCCCTGCCCGGCTGGTGGAGGGCATGCTGGGAGAGCTCCGCTGCCGCCGCCGGGGATTATCTGGGCCTGCGACTGCGACTGAGCTGCAAAAGCCCCCGGTGCTGGCTCATCTGCAACAGGACGGCGCTGTACGCATGAGCACCTAGGGGGGAAGATGTCCATCTGATTATGTCTCTCAGGTGAGGTGTAAATGTAAACCTTGTGGACAGGAACCGACATGTACTGCAGAGAGAGACTAGCTAAGGTGCAAGTCCAGCATGTTTCGGTTTTCCAGGGCAGAAGGATCACCTCAATAAAAGCATTGCTGGGCTTTGAGGGTGATAGCGATGCAAAACCGAAGACGTGCTTATTTACCGTTCACACAATAGAGCTGAAACGAATACAGAGGGTAAATTTCAATATAACTGTTTTTGAAAGGGTAACATATCTCCATAGCAAAGGCATTGCAGCAGGACGTTGTATAATAAACTTAACACATTTCAAAGTAGTCATGAACATAGAATATTTATTGTACAAATCTGCAATTATAGAAAAAATATGAAAACATTTCAAGTAACTTCACTGGTTTTATCTTATATTAAAAACACAGGTTGGTTTTGTAAACTGTATAGGTAAGCAGAAAACAAGACACAGAACTAGACTAGTGTCATAACTCCATCTATATTAGTATGACCATCTCTCCCATAAAGGTCCTTCCCTGCACGCGTTCGGGTACCCGACGGGTGACCCGCAAATTTTGTTGAAACGGGTGAAAAATATTCTACTGTCGGATACAGGTTTGGGTCGGGTCGGACGCAGGAGAGCTAAATTGCGGTTTTCAAAACATCAAGTGCCAACAAAAAATACCCTAGGGCTATATTTTAGTGACAAAATCCCTGCATTCAGGATGATAAAACGTAAAATCCATATCAGTTTATGCCTGCACGTGCATTCCCGGAAATCTCTCCCACTTTCATTTTCAAAAAACGCATGCGATCTCCTCCAGTTGTTCGGAATGGATGCTGAAGTAGTCAGCTGAGGCCATCAACTGTGGACGATATCCTTTTTTTACACAGTAATATAAAGCACCGCACCAAACGCTAGTCTTCAACTTCGCATAGGATTTCCAATCGGGTAATCAAAGGAAAATGGACAGTGCATGTAGGTAGCCTATAAAACCCAATACTGTGCAGGGTAGCCTAATGTACATTTTATATAATACTAGTTTTATTAACACATTTGATTGTAAGCTGGTAAGGCTATATGTGGGCATGGCAATATCAAACATTATTTGAGTTTGGAGGTAGGCTACTACCATTTGTTTTGCTTATTATTAGGCTGTTATTAAGCAACATTTACATTTGGCTATGCCTTTTCAACTGACGTTGCACATGTCACTGGTCGTTTGTTGTGCCAATAAACTTGTCTTTAATTTTTAATCTGACTGATTTTCATTCGGGTGCGGGTCGGGTGTCGGTATTTATTTTTAGTGGATCGGGTGCGGAATTTTATTTTATTTCTGTCGGCTAACGGTTCGGATATGGGTTTAAGTATGACGGGTATGGGCGGGTGCGGTTTGTCAAAATCAGACCCGTGCAGGACTCTGCTGACAGGTGCAGCAATAATCATATAAACAATTTTCATATAAATAATAAATTACTATTTGACGTGACGTCATTACGTCATTTTTGCAGGCGAGGAGCGGAAATTTCTGCGGTAGGGCGGTATAATCAAAATCTCTCCCGCTGGCCAAATTTATATTGTGTACCGTTTATACCGCCCAGTACTAGATCAAATCATATATCGCAATATATACCGTCTAAGGTTCAAATTATACCGCAATATGAATTTTATGGCATATCGCACAGCCCTAATTCAAAATTCACTTATGGTACTTACGTTCTTTTTAAGTTTTCGCGACCTGTAAATGCTTACGTTACCTCATCTCATGGCCGCATATTTTGCATTATGTCACTATTTCATTTGTAACAAATTTATCGGCTTCCTTTTGACTTGGAAACCCAAAATGGTTCCACACCGGCGACTTCGCTGGAGTGATGCCAATGCTGTCCTCCTCAGCTGACATTTTTCACAGAATTGCAGTAGATCGAATGGCGCCAAGTCATAAAACAATCTGCGTGCAAATTTTATTTTTTAAAACACTTTAAATGTCGAAGACAGCACATATCTGCAATGTTTTAAATACAGTGTGTCTTTACTGTTGTCAGATACTCATTTTGCGATCTCATTTTTATATTTATGTGCATGTCGTGATGTTTGCCGTAAAGAGCCTCACATCAGAACACGTGACTGCTGTAAACATTACAAAAGACCGTCGATTGCATTTTTGTTTTTTGTTCTTTTGCTAAATAGACAAGAATAAGTTCTGATTTTATGAATATTCAAATATTTACCATGCGAATAATGAATATGTATTCAACGACAGGGCAATATTCGGTGCACCGAATATTCGAGTGTATCGTAATGGCTCTGTCACACAATGTACATCATTATTGACTATGTGCTAATTTCTGCTAGCATGTCTTTGAGCACTGCCGTCTTACGTTTGCTTGCATAATTTCGCTTGCATAAATGTGAATTACGAATCGATTCTGTTCAGCTGTTCTACAGTACATTTTAAATAGGTAGTTGGAAATTTTCAAGTTCCAAGTTACTGGGAAAGCGTCATGCGTGATACTGCTAATAATGAATAATATATAGAATATACCTTTTTCCCTTTAGATAATCCATGCATATCGACACAGAACAACAGTACCTCCATGAATGTTGACCAATCAGATGATGGTGATGCAACCTGCTCAGTTTGGTCATGCTCTTGGCCCTGCTGTCAGCACAGGTATGGATAATTTACAATGGAAAACAGTTTGCGGTACAACTCGGGCTTGGTTCTTGGTGGTAGTGGAAAAGCACCATAAGCATTCGTCACAACGATGAAAAATTAATATATGCATAGAAGCCGACCCTTCCCCACAGAGACACTAGTCAGGCCAGGTAGCACAGGTACCCTATTGGGGCTTCAAGAGGGTCATACCACTGAAAGGTGGCCGGGTGTGGATGTGAGAGAGAACCAAGAGATGAGCAGTAGTCATGCTTCCAATAAATAACTCATTGTACTCTGAATGCAGGCTGCGCTGCGCTGCACCCCCCCCCAAATTGTGCTAAGGGAAGGGGGACTCAGCAGTGACTGGTGGCGGCAGGAGTGGAGCAGACTAGTCAAAGTTTGCTTGAAATTACTTGTTATGCATAACTCTTCCAGTCCCAGAATATTATGGTAAATGTACTAATAGATAACAACACTCAAACACATACTCAGGGCAAAGCACAGAACTGGGCCTTAAGACTTGCTTTCTTGGAGCAATAACAGAACCCAGATGACACGAGGCCCCCTGGTGGACATGGAGTTAAGCTGGTACATTAAGGTGAAGGTGGCCCTCTGAGCAGCACAACAGAACAAACAACTGGAAGCAAAGAGGGGGCTGTATACACACTAGTTTTATTAAGGATAGGAGCTTAACTCAAAGGTATAACAGCAGATATCCTGGGATTTGAAGCTGTAAGAGTTTGGTAAAAACCCTAGTTTTTCCTGGTTTCACAAAGACCATCTGCAGACATCATATGCAAGATGTATCAGTGCCATCAAGACTCCGGAAGCTGGTACTAGGACTTCTGAAAAACCTGCATTTTTCTGAAGGCTAGATGGAGGACCTCCTCATCAAAAAGGCAAATAAACAAACAGTGGGTGATGCCAAGCACAATGTGACAGTAACCTGAGCTTTTCACAGATAGGCTTTCCTGCGTTTTGGGCAGGGACGCCGAAGGACTGGAATTTAAGCATTGGGAAGCACAACAAATGCACTAATACAAGGCAGACTTCTCATGCAGTGACAGTTGAATTCCAACACTGATTTTAGGGCACTGCAGATGTTAGGGTGAACAGTTTAGACTCTGTACTTCAGCACCATGCTATTGTAATATGACTAACTGGGAAAGCAGCCGAGAGTATCAATGAAAAGTTGAAAAGAATGAAAATCATTTCATAATATAAAAAAAATCACCCAAAACGAGCACACAGTCAATACATGCTTAAAAAAATCACCATGTCATTAATACTGCTAGTTCTTGTTGTTTTCTACAGGGCAATCTCGTGGAACACGAAAATGCATCCTAAGGAAGAGGTAAGAAAAGTACGAAAAGAATGTCTAAGAAACACTGTGGATTCAATGGCAATCCAGTTCACAGAAGGAAAATGCAATGTTGTAACAGAAGCCCACTAGACTTCCAGTTTACAGTACATGCAGTGAACCATTTGTACTGCAAATAACACAATTAATACACATAAAAAGGCTGATCTCAGCATCATGACTGGGAACACAAACTAAGCACAGGTCAGAGGAGTCATCCAGTAGTAACTTGCGATGTCTGGGGTGAGGTTCTGCATGCACTGAACACAGAACTCACCTGACTGGCTTAGCGCCAATCAGCAAACTGGCTCTTCTGGTACAGTCGATACTTTACAGACATGGTGTAAAAGACTTCACCACATTACGAGGTTCTACGCCAAAGTAAACTGCAGGAGTGCAAATGAATTCTATGTAAAGAAACAAACAATTTCCTCTCTGCCAATCATTATAAGTATCCGGTCCATCCTGAGGTTGAATTTGCCTTCTGGGCAATTGATAGAAACCTAGAGTTCCTGCTTAAACCGAGTTTTACAATCAAAAAAGCCTGAAAACTTTAAAAGTGGCAGTTCTGCAAAGAACTGAATCACACAGCAATGTACTTACACACTAATTTGTTCATATATCCTTGTTAAGGTCATGGCAATCACAAACCCACAACCCCGGAGGTGTGAGGCAACAGTGCTAACCACTAAGCCACTGGGCTGTCTGCATTACCCTTGCAAGGCCCCAACCTGCCCATATAAGCGTGGAGCCCCCTGCTGGCCTGTCCTGCGGCTCCTCCTCTGAGGCATGCTGCTTGCTAGCAGTAGCTGCACTGCCCCCTATCTTCACCTTGCTCTGCAGGAATTAGTCTGATTAAAGAGCTCAGGGCAAGCCCTTGACCAGGAGGCTACTTACACCTTACAGGGTGTGCAGACCTACCTCATGATGACCACCTGGACAAACGGCCTGTCTGTGTTTTTACACAATCTTTCATAAAAAACACAAAAACAACAAACACGACACCATGACAAAAAAACAACTATGTCCATCATGATACTCAAACTCCTACGACAAGACAGCGCAAAGGCGGCGGGGGTGTTTGTCAACAAAAACAGAGGAGTAACAGCAGCAAAGATTTCACACCGGCAGTCTTCTTGGGGGAGCTCCTACGGAGGACTGACTCCATTCTTCCACATGCCTGCATTTGCTGATTTAAAACAAAGGCTATGGTTCAAAATAAAAAAATATAAAAAAATTAACTTTTCTCCATACTATACACTGACAAAGTATCATTAGCAGTCATGCACAAGCAACACAAAACAGCTCTCTTTAGAAATAAAAGCTTCATTTAGCCCCTTGCCTTCATCTGGCTGGGTGTTGCGAGCATGTGGGGAGGGGGGGCAGGCCCTTGGTCCCTGGAGCCTTGCTCAGATGATCAGCTGCACACAGAGCCAACGCCTGGGTCACAAGACAACCTCCCCCCCATTCCCTTGATTATGGAGACTGTTCAACCCAAATGGTAGTGGAGTACAGCTGTAAAAGGCCTGTCGGACAGTCAGCAAGGATGGATTCAATACTTTCTTCAAAACTAATTTCAATAGCATTTAAACCCATCATGCCTCACTCCTAATATAGACTGGATTATTGACTGAAAGATAAAAAGTACAGGTTTTTACATGTCTTTCTCTAACATGTAATTCATTTACAATGACAACAGCAAATATTCCTTGCCAAGGAATCTGCTTATCGTGATAAAGGGCTGCACGTTTTAGCACGTTCATGGCCACGTTAGCTTAACAGGTGATGCGGGAAAACTACATAAAACCATAGAGACTGTTCACACCATCAATGAGCTACAAATCCAGGGGAAAGACAGACACACAGACAGACAGACAAAGAGAGAGACACACTAACCATAACCCTTTACAGAACTTCACGTCTGCAGTTTAACAGACTACAATCACAGCACTCCAACTTACAAGGAAAGCCTAGGGGGCATTTTAAAAACCACCCCCTTTCCATTGAAAGGAAGTTCTTCCCTAACTGATGAACGACTGGGATGTTCAGCAATCAGGCAAGTGCCAAGGATGGCTATGTGCACCATCATGCCAAAGCATTACAACGGACACACAAGAAGAACAGTACAGATATATCACCACCTGCTAAATGCCGCATTTGTACTGACTATGTACAAAACACAACTGAGCAGAGGGTAATGAGACAGAGTCATGACCAAGAGGCTACCAGGTCAAGCTCTCGGGCAGTAGAGAGGAGGCTTTTCTGGCAAAATACTTGTACTGCTTTGAACAGGTTTTAAGTCTGAAATCTAACTGTAAGTCACTCTGGAATCAAGCAGGCAAATAAATAATGCATGAAAATAATGTGAAATGTGCTGATAAAACCAAAAATCTCCTGGGAGACCACAGAGAACTGCACAGCACTCTGCCTTCCTGTTATCGATCTGCTCAAATAACAAATTAGCCAAATCAAGTATGATCCTTCAACATCTGCCCTTTCTGCTAAGAAAACGGCGTATTGACTTCATTTCCCCCAATTGATTCTCATCAAATACCGTTTCCTAATGAAGATCTAGTGACTTCGTTAATTAAGTGTATAAATGTAAAAGCACAAAACTTAAAAACCAAAGGCAACACCACTAGTCTAATTGTTTTTCATTAGGAAGAAAACCTTGAGATACGGTGAGGGAATCTCACATTGCACACTGGACTGCAGCATTCTCAAAACAGCTGAAGACTGAGCTCCTATTAACAGAGGACTGTAGTGTTTGTGTACATTCTGGGAAAGGGTGGGGGGCCATGATATGGGGAATTGAGGGGAAGTTGGAGGGGGGAGAGTAAGGGGTGTTGGCTGAAATTCAGCTACTGTGAAGAGATTATGCCGATACGACACTCCTGAATAACAGCGGCACAGCGGCCTGTGGCAGCGCCTAGCTATAAGCGCAACGGGAAACAGAATCAGTCTGTGTAGTGCAGACGGGCGCTTCAGCGGGGTGGGGCAGGATTCCTTCCGGGGACACGCTGTTGCCACGTTACTCAGCCGCTATACTAGGGGCATGCCCCCCTAAACACATACCAGCATTTTTCTATCCCATTTTTAAAGTGTAACTGTCCGCAATAATTAGCATGCATGCTAAACATTACACTATTCTAGGGAAGTAGCGTTAGTACACGACTCCTGCTTCTCGAAGTGTTCCAGATTTTCCTACTCTGTTAGACTAGCTTAAAACAAGGGTGGGGAAGCTTATCCTCAAAGAACCAGGGTGTATGCAGGTTTTTGGGATAACCTTTATGACAGCTGTTCAAACCCAGGTGCGAGGACTGTTCAGCCAGTCAGTCCTCTAATTAGTAATCTAATTAGGGAGTTGCAGCGAAAACCTGCCCTTTCTGGATACAACTGCCCACCCCTGGCTTTAACAAACAGAAAACACGTGTTAACAACTGCAACCTGTGCCACACAGCATTCACTTCACGATCATCAGGCTGACATGACATGCTCGATGGCCTTGGGGAACAAGCATTTTGCCTCTGTAAGCATCTTGTAGGATTATATTCAAGTGACTCCCCACTGCATGCCACACGTGAGACCTCGTCAGAAGGCACTGCAACGAAGAAACCCCAGCAGCCAATTACCTTGCAGGTTCACAGCACCTGAATGGAGTACGACACAAAATCTCAGAAAGAACCATGTCCACAATCTCAGCAGTGCCACTGGGACTACTATAACCTCAGTTCATATTGTCTGAATGGAACGCCTTCATTAAACACACAAGTGACTGGCCACATCATTCCAGTCTAAAACATATATTAGGCCATCAGTCACGCAACATTCAAAGTTTTGAATACCTGCTGCATGGCAGTAAGGATGGGTCTCTGTCTGTTCTTCCCAAAAACAGGTGCAACTCCCCACCTCCCCTTTTAATTCATGTTACACATTTAGATTCAGCAATCTCCAAACGAGAGGAACAAAACCCACTGCAGACATTCAACATATTCCTGTCCGTATGCACACATGCGCGTGTCCCTGGCTGACAAAGCAACTCACTGTTTCCCCAGCTTTTATGCAGACTTTTTCCCCAAAATGAAGTTATATTCATGTAACTCACATCTCATAGCTCACAAAGAATTACAACTGGGTTGGCAATAAAACTGATTCATTTTACTATAATCCTCTTGGACGAAGCATCATGAAAATTTTTGGATACCACCTGATAATTAAGTCTATTTATAAAATACAAATTAAGCAGTCTTATAATGCTTCCAATACAATACACAAAACTCTGTATAAAGAAGGCTCCTTGTTCAATAGTAATTTTTATTTCCTGTTGCATAAACACTCATACTTTGTTCATATCAACAGCAACCGATAGCCATCTCATCATTTTTGTACATTTTTCCAGTAGACAGATCTAAGCAACTGGCATGCAGTCAAAGATAAATTATCCCACTAGTATCTACCATAACTCAATATCAATTGCTTCACAAAATGTCTAACTGAATATTGATAAAGCTTAAATATCTGCCAAGATTGACACACAAGACAGATGATGTCTTGATTTTTAACAAATGTCGATATGATAAACGATATATCTCTATATTGTTTGTTCAAGTCTTATAATGCAATCATAATAATAATGAGGGAAATAGAGCGACAAGGTTTCACCAAATCCTAGAATGGGAGAATAACACCAGAGATTCCCAATAAAGACAACAAGAGTAAGACAGCTGTCAACATCACTACAGTAAAATCCAGTTAAATTACGGACTTTAAGGGACCTGAAAAAAGTCTGTTATATCCAAAGTCCATTATATCCAGAGTTGCTGTGTGCCCAGAACACAACTACAGGACACCATTTACTCATGCCACACCCCAGCAGATACACTTCTTGTATAGATTATTATATTGTAGATGTAGTAAACCAACTTTACCTGACCAGATTCATGACTATTAATAATCCCGATTACGTATCTGCACTGGATATCACTGGCACGCCCACACGCCTTGTAGGCTGAGCCTGCATGTCCGTTATAGCCGAACAAAACTACAGCTAAAAGCGGCCCTGGGGACCAAATTGTTTGTCCATTATAAGCGAAATTCCATTATATGCGATTCCGCTATATCCGATGCTTTTTCTGCATGTTCTTAAAGGCGCACGGCCAGGACCAGTGGACCTCGTCCGTTATAGACAATATTCCGTTATAAGAGAGAGTCCACTATAATGGGATTTTACTGTATAAGGTTAAGGTTCAAATCTGTGGAGGGAAAGTGCAATCACCAAACCTGACAAGTTCTGTGAATATCCTATTTCTCAAAGGGACACAGTCTATGATGTGGTCTGGGCTGGAGCAAGCCAAAACATACTAAACTGTTTCTCCTTAACCAGTGTTATGTCCCACCTACAAATTTCACTCATTCATTCAAATCTCACATGATTTGTTCCAGAAGTGCTCATGTACTATGGTCAAGTGGTGACAGTGCCTCCATATCATAGCAGAAGCCTAAAGAGAGACCTTCAGCAAATGACCACATGACTAATCACAGTTCAGGAGCATTACTCTTGAATTCAAGAGAAAGTCCACCCAATCCATTCCCCTAACTACTTCTTTAGCAACAGCATTTATACAAAGCCGTGTATGTAGCCCCTATTCCCCCAGCCAAAAAAAAAAAGAAAAATACTACTGGAACCTCATGAAAATCCACGCATAATGCATAGTCCTGAAGGTAAGAGTCACATACTCAAATGTCAGGTGACTTCAGGGGTCTTCAGTGCAAAGTGCCAAAGAAAGGTGCAAACGAGCACGCAGAGGTCAGAATCCAGCAGGTTTCACCGGTACTTTCCCAAGCTGAAAGATCGACAGCTGAAATGTAACCCGAAACAGTGAGATCACCCAGCCAACTTCCCAGGGCAGAAGACTTGGTGTTGCTGCAATAGCCAAATGTCCATGGCTCTCAGGCCATTTAAAAATACAAAACAAGTACAAGTGTCTAACCGAAACCAGGAACACACATCCTCCTTTAATATGAATTTAATCGCAGATTAAATTTTGTGCATGTTTTGTTCAAGATTTCTTATTAATTAGTACATTTGATCTTTTTTATTACAAAAAAATTCCACAACCACCAACCTTTAAGCGCTGTATCAATGCAAATACTTGAAAAAATGAAGCAGGTAGGTTTACAGTTACTTTATGTATAGAAATGTATGAATGTGCAAGGTATAAAGAAATTTCCCAACTCAACACATATATCGAATGTTTCTTGAATTGATCATTAAAACTTGATTTAAAGATTTTAAAAGTCAGTTTTAATAATAGATCATAGTGTGGCAAAAAAAAAATAATCATGAAACATGAATCGTAAAAATTTCCCACAATTAGTCTGTTCATAGCCTTTAATAATCCTTCCTCAAAACTTTCAGGCTTGTTCTAAAAATAACAGCAAGAAAACTAAGTGATCTGCTCATAGTTGCTGTGTTTTTAATCCCATGAGATGTCTGTTTATTTATGACCAGCTTTACATGCGCAAATTTGGGTGTTCCAGCAGATCCCGGTCCCCCAGAAATGGCAGGTTCCCTAAAGGTACCTTTGGCCTCAGGCCTGTAATATAACTTCCTCTGCTGTGACCTGAAGTCTCAACCACACCCCATAACTTAACCCTTTCCTTACTTATGGAAGGGGGAAAAAAATCAATTCTCCAGTATAGACTGCCTGCTCACAGAACAATCAGGAGTTGAGCAAGACAGGCTTTTCTCATTTGGCAGTGGTAGGGGTTAGAGACAAAGGCTATTAGGAACTCCTGCTTTATGGCTGTAAAGCACTGAAAATTGAAATAGAAGCAAATTTGACAGCTATGTCCGCAAAAACACACTCTGCTTACCTGGTACACCCAGAGCATGGATGCAGCCCGTTTCAAAAAGTGGCTAAGCGAGCAGCCAGAAGAACAATATGGTATTCAGAACCCTAATACATCCATCCATGCATTGATCCATCTTCTGCACCTGCTTGTTCTACACAGGGTCAAAGAGCCTATTCCAGAAGCTATGGGCACAAGGCAGGGAATTGCCCAAGATAAGACGCCAACCCATTGCAGTGCACATATCTAATTCACACACACATTCACACCTACTGACAATTTGGCAACTCCAGTTCACCTTAACATATTTTTGGACCGTGAGGGAAAACTGGAGAATCAGGAGGAAATCCCAGAATGACATGGGGACAACATAAAAAATCCACACAAGGCCCCATGACGGCGACCTGAACCCCGGTCCCAGAGGTGTGAGTGCTATCCACTGTGCCACCCCTACCAAATCCTATAACACAATAATGACAAAACCAAATCCGGGTGTGCTGCTGGTGACCATAACCAGGGAACACACATCCTAAACAGAGATGGGGTGACTGCCAGCTCTCTCTGCAGCCCCTATATCATCTTCACAGCTTTCATTCATTCCACTCCCCTTCTAGCAAGCATGACCATTGGTTCAAACAGTGGAAGTATTTTAAATAGAGATTTCCCTACCACTCATATACCCAAGACTATGGGGTCTATGCCCAGTCATGACCCAGCTGGTGGCTAAAGGAGCCAATGGGGTGAAATTAATTCTGGTAAATTCAGTTCTCTCATAGTTTTTACTGACCATTTTATGTGGATAAATTCTTCCAGAGTCACGTTACACATAAACAGCTACACTGTGGGGGTATGCTGAATATTCATTTCATCTTCTTTTTCTTTAACAATTTAGACAGAAAAACACATGCAAATGCCTATATTCACCCTCATGCCATGCTTCTTAACACAATACAAAACTTCTACGTTTTTTTGGTCTTTCATCAAAATGTGTTTTTTTTTCCCCTAAACAGCTGCCCCCTATCAACCTTGCCACCCACCACATCCACACCCAAATCCAGCCTCTGGGGAAGTGTGGAGGGGTATAAGGAGCAATTCCATAGTCACCAAAGGAAAAAGAACAAATTGTGAACAAGTTCTTGTGTTAAATGAATATACAGACGCTCCTCTACTTACAAATGAGTTACGTTCAGAACGGCTGTTCGTAATTTGTTATTCAACATCATTTTAAGGGTATACGCAAGCATAAAGAACTAGGATGCTGGGAGTAAGCACGCTACGCTGCTGTGCAGCGGGAGTAGTGACCAGAAGTCATACTAGTCAGTGGTGCACAGAATAAAAAAATTGATGTTGCGGAAAGGAAATGGTAGCCCAAGGAACACAATTTGGATTTACAGTCCTCTTCGTTCATATGTCTGAAAGTTCGTAAGTTTAAAGTTCATAAGTAGAGGAGCGTCTGTATGCTCTAAAACAAAATAAGGACTTCTCAGCACCCCCACATCCAGGATTGAGCACAATTTACCTAAAACTGTAGGGAAAAACTTGAAGACAAGCTAATAATAGCAGCAAATGGCTTACAGGGAGACACTAGCGAGGGGGACGGGGGTGATTTCAGAAAAAGCACCATTTCCCATCACCATTTCTTTACACATATGGACACACTCCACATAACAACGTACTGAAGGGCAAAGTGACCACAGTTTACAACTAGCCTTGTACATGTTCTTTTCCACTCCACTTTTTACAAAATACACCGCACAGGCCCAGTTTAGACATTTGCACAAATGAATATCAATCTGGGTCTTCTGCTCATGTTTTTTTCCATTATGAACAAAAACCTAAATTTACACGAAGTAGAAAATTTAGTGATGTCTGAAGGTGATTTTTTTTTTTAATGAACACATCAGTATCACCAAAAGTCCTTATCAATGACATCTCTGGTGCAACATGGAACAAGATACCAGGTGACTACAATTCATATAAAAGAATTGTGTATCATCTACACAGACCAAGCCCCTCACTCCTGTGAATGGCACAGAACAAACAAATTTTACCAGAGATGTTCAAAACTGGGGGGTGTTCCAAAAAGCAGTTAGCTGGATAACTTAAGCAAAATGTAAAAACTGTCCAACAGGAAGACTGGTAAGTCACATTACTATTGGACAACCCTTACATTTGGCTTAAGTTATCTGGCTAATGAAGAAATCCTGTTTTGTGCAATACCCCTAAAGGACTCAAGTGCAGTATTACTGAGACAACAGCAGGATGTGCTTAAGGACCACACAGAGTGGCAGGCTGATGGACCAGAGCGTTACAGCATGCAACCATATTCTACAATGCTGTGAATTTTCGCCCTTACAATTATATTGACATTTAAAATATGACAAGTACCTGCTGCTAAACAACTAACATACAAGTGCTCAACATACAGGCACTGCAAGAGTGGAGCTAAATGCTTGGTAGTGTCAGCATAAGAACTCATAAGAGTCAATATCAGAATGCTGAGGACCACACCACTGCCAGTGATTACACTACACCTTAATCCAGCACTGCCAGGGATTACATTCTACCTTATTCCAGCACTGCCTGAGAGAATGCTTCACCATATTCCTGCAGTGCCAGATATCATGCTCTACTTTACTGCAGCACTACCAGGGATTACACCACACCTTATTCCAGCAGTGCCAGTAATTATATTCTACCTCATTCCAGCACAGCATTTACGGGGGGGGGGGGGTTGTAGCCCCTCCAATAAATCAAAACTAACTAATACACCCCCCCCCCCAATAATCATGTTTCCCCCGTAATGGGTGGAGACCTCAACCCCTCCAGTGTTCCAGCCAAAGTTACGGCCTTGGATTACGCTCTACCTTATTCCAACACTGCCAGGGATTATGCTCTACCATATTCCAGCACTGCCATATTCGACTTTATTCCAGTGCTGCCAAGGATTACAACCTACCGTATTTCAGCACTGCCAGGGATTACACCGCAGCTCAATCCAGCACTGCCATGGTTTATGCTGTATTCCAGCACTGTTAGCGATTTTGCCACACCTTATTCCAGCACTACCAGCAATTTCACCGCGCCTTATTCCAAAACGGTCAGAATTGACACTGCATATGGGTATTTCAAATTGTCAATAAATTCCTTTAAATTGTTGAGATAGTCGGAGCGGCTCAAAGTAACATCCAGGAGATAACGCGATGGTACACTAGAAGTGAGAAAAACGCTCAGATGAATATCCCGGGAGGGGGAGGGTTAAATTCTGATCAAGGAAAGCCACCGCACTTTAGGTTAGCTAAACTGCAAAGCGACATCGCACTTTAGCTAAACTGCAAAGCGGCAAAACAAATGGACAAGGATACGTGTAAACAACGACTTGTCATGATCATATACGCTTTTGCTGTTATGTCCACTCCACCTTGGAGTGGACCCCCCCCCCCGGTACTGTAATACTGTAACACCGTGCGGCACTGCACCAAAACCGACGCATCTTAACATTAACCTGAGACGAGGCAATCCAACGAACTAAAACATGCGACAGTACCGTGACTGGGCTCTCTGGGACCGATGCTCACTCAGAGTTACACCCATCTTTATTCGCCATAGCCACTGAAACACCCCTGCTATGGAACAAGCTAGCCAACTAAGCTACATAACGTTTACTAGCGAGCCGACACTCGGACGCCTCAGCTAACGCGCTGGCTTTCGGGTTAGGGCAGTCTCCCGAGCTTGGTTAGCTGTACCCCGAGCACACGGACCCGCTGCGGGCCATGTCCACCTCACCGACGCGGCCGAGCGGCCGACCCAGCCCGCCGAGGTGCGCTTCAGAAGCGGACACTTACCCGTCCAACAGGCCGGATTTAAAGAGAAGCTGGGGGTAAATCGCAGCGTCCGTTTAAACGTCTCCGTTTGAAAGTGCCCTCCCCTGCCCCACTGCCCAGATACCGATTCGGTTAGGGGCTGCTGATGTGTGTTGTCACACGGTGTAGGGAGTCCTCTCCAGGGCCAAAAGGGGCCCAGTAGCTCGCTTTCCAGGCACAGACAGGTCCCAAAGATGGCGGCCGTGTGCACTCCCTCCTCCCTCCCGTCGCAAACACGGGGGGGAAAAATATGAAGGAACTGCCCGAAAACTGCCTCAAACTAACCGGCGGCCACGCCCTCGCTTCCAGCCCAGGGGTTTGCAGCTCTCTGATGCTGGGAGGTGTCTCTGTCCCCTATGTCTGCGTTGTTTTCGCTGGGTACTCCCGGCCCTCCGACTTTCGTTCGGTTTCGTCTCTGCGCGCTCCACCTCGGGCCGCGAGCTCCGCCGCCTCGCGCCCACCAAATCCTACTGGCCGAAGCGTGAGGCGCACGAGCGGCGCAGCCAAGTCCCGCGGGCGGGGACATCGCGAGAGGAAGCCGGGAGTTTGTGGTTTCAGGACCGTGCCAGCGCAAGGCTCCTTACCTGACAGATCACGTCCAGATCACCTTCAGCTTTACATACGATCGGTTGCTTGTTTGTTAGAAAAGCGACTAAGCAGTGTGTTCGTTTTCCATTTGCAATCATTCATTATTATGCTACAGTATTTCACGGAACTGCACAAATTTCCTTTCTGTGGCAGCATTGATCTATACGTGTTCACCGTGATCCTACAAAAACATCCTTCTGGAATTCTATTACAGGTTCAAACACATACACTTCTGGCATGGGCTGTTTTGCTTGAGATTTTGTTCAGTACAATAATTTATTTACCCGACAACATTGCTAAGAATCCTGCAGTGTTTTCAAGTATTCATATCAAAATTTTATCATTCAGTAAACGGAATAGTTGAAAAACAGTATTTGCATTATGAGCTATAATATTTTACTACATAGTAAGTCCAGTGTAGCCATAGTAGCCCATATATAATAATACTATAGAAAGTAAAAATAATAAGAAATTTTCTAAATGTTGGAACTGAAATCGGCAGAATGAGAAAATTGTTGAATAAATTATCTAAGGAAGCAAGCAGTATGTATATGTGCCTCCATACGACAACCTTGGCATATAAATTCAGGGCACAGAGGACAACAAAAGGGAGTATTTGCAGACCGGTGGAAGGGCCAAATTGTATCTCAAAGTCACATCTTAGAAAGCAGGAACCTCTGAATTCACATCTTTGACTGACACAAATGGATTACATACTTGTGGGATATATTCCCAGTGCTTCTCTTTTCTATTCAGAGTACTGGCACCTCTCAATATCTGCTGGTACCGAAGAACAAGGGGAGTACCGGGGGAGTTCCCCATTCCACACACTGTATATTCCAGCACCAATTTAATTTGCACTGTTTGTGTTTTACTTAATGTACATTTTCCAGTTATAAAATCAGACCACCTGGATCACATCTATACCTATGAAACTTCATGTTCAAGCTGAACTTTAAATCTCTTTTAGTAATTCAAATAGCTAATAGAATCATGGGTAGATTAAGATATCTGAGGGCTATGACCGATATTATCACGGACACTTACGGAGCTTTCCCTCTGTCATACAGGAATTGAACTGTGCCACAGCAATCATTATTATTTTTACTGTGTGCTAATTTCCGTTAGCACATCTGTGAGAATCACCATGTTTTGCAAGTATCAAAGGTTAGTGGAATTAAAATTATGAATCCATTCTGTTCAACTGTTCTATAGTACTTTTTAAGTAGGAGGTTGGAAATTTTCAGGTTCCGAGTTTTCAGGAATGTAACTCAATATGTATTACTAACAATAATATATAATATGCCCTTTCTTCCGTCAGATAATTTTTGCACAGAAAACCAATACCCCGTGCATTTCGACCAATCAGACGGTGGTGATGCAACCAGCTCTGTTTGGTCTCGCTTTCAGCCTGCTAATAAGTCAAACCATGTCAGCGCAATTTCAACTCAGATATGACTCGTATAAAAGTGCCAGGTACAGGTCAGGGACGGCTCGGTTCTAGGTGACAGTGGAAAAACGCCATTAGGCGTTGCCAAATTAACTAACTGTTCCATTAACCCCCTTAGAGTATAGGCTAGAATACCCTACGTATGTATCAGTTCGCCCTGCATGAAGTGTTCCACCAGCAAACGGGAGGTAGGGCATGAACGTGCATCATTTTGGGCCCTCAACCCAGACCAATCCAATTATGCATGGAAATTTTTAGCGGCCCTTGGAATCGTCCTAACTTTCCCCCCCTTTGCCGAGCCCTTATCACTGAAGGAGTATAGCAGAGATCATTTTAATGAGGGAGAGGGGAGCTCGAATTAAAGATTTCACATTACATTTGAGTTTTATAAATGCTGCTTTCTCTATCTTTTGGTGTCTCTCAATGGACACAGCAGGACACAGCAGGACACAGCAGTCTCGGCCCAGGTGGCACCCTAAGCGGGCATCATCAACAGCTGCTCCCCATCCAAGACAAAGCGAAAATGGCTGGCTGTCCGGCACTCCTCAACGTGTCGCTGTTCTGTGCCGGCAGGCCCGGTGTCTTGTGGTTACTACTGGGGAAGTTGTCCCAGGCCCAGACCTGAGGTTTTGCGAGTCCCGGTGGCCTGATTGAATTAATTTTCTCTGGGATTATGCATGGCAGGCCTGTGTGCAGGCACTGCAAAGTGTGCAGACTTCTAGAGTGGCCCTCCATCAGCTATGCAGTGGCATAGCTGTTCTTTTCTGGCACCGCAGAGTATGCACTTCATGAAATTAGCTGGCTAAGTCAGCGCCCCCTCAGAATTTGGCACCCTAGGCAGCCGCCTATAGAATTAACTGGCCCTGTGACACGGCCCTCCTTTCTGAATCAACTCATTTCAATCAGAAATAGGCAGCCTAAAATCCATGACCCATAGTCCAAGAATCGGTTGGCTGTGGCCTGGCCCATTGTACTGAGATGGATGGACGCCATGGTCACCTCCCTGAAACTTCCACATTGTATCACCTCAAAATATGTTGGGCTGCATGTTTCCATCAAGTGTACAGTTTGCAGTTTATCAGCCGAAGTCTTTCTTCCAACATTAACCTGACTTTTCGCCAATCAAAGAACTGGTTGGTGAGCTAATTATGTTCGCATTTTTGCTTGTGGTATGAATGCGTTAAATAATACAGCATTGCTCTTCTTTCATAATGCAGTTATATACCGAAACAGTTAATATGTGGGTAGTATTTTGGTAAAGATGACGCAGACCTGCTGTTGTGGTATGCTTTATGTAATATGCCGACATCAGTTAATCTGGAAAACGTCAGTTTACTGTATACATTATATACTTTTAAATGATCTCAGTCAACACTGCATATTAAAGTAATCTCTGGTACTCTTTGTATTTGAAGCTTTTAGTCACAAGTCAAGCACTGCAACAGTGTATGACTTCCAGGGTCATTTTTATTACTACGTTAGCCTACAACAGCATTTGCTTCTTATAGGCTCCTTTTCAAAATAATCTACTGTGCAAAGTCGTTTACTGTTTTACAGCTGTTGACACGTAATCCAGAACATACGAGGTCCTTACAATGGCAAAAGGTCACTGGATCAGGTGACAGCTGAGATCTCAGCAAAGGCGTAAGAATTCCAAACGCTCAAGGCAGATCAGAGCGACTACACGGAGCCCCTTCCCTCTTCAGTTGACCAATGGTAACGCGGGACAGGCTTCCCGCACTCCTGATTGGGCGTCTTCCGGCCCTCCTACACCCCCTAATGAGAATAAAGTGAAGCCTGTCTCTGTATCCAGGCGGGTGACGGGGTTACTGCGGCTGCGCCGTAGAGTGGGGACGCGGTGTTTTCACTTTGTCATTTGTTACAGTTTTGCTGCATTCCCTCTTGCATTTTCATCAAACAAGTAGATCTGCAGCACGCGACGACATAAAAAAAAAATCTATTTTCACGTCTTTGCATGGAGACACGCGGGGATTTGTCCCTGGTGGCGGTAGGCTACGTGTGGACGTCTCATAACGCCGACCAAACAGAAAGTACATATTCCGAAATCTTTGGATATCCTAACGAAAGTCAGTTAAACACTAACGATTCGTAAAATTATTATGTGCAAACATCTAGTAATACACAAATACAATTTATGTACATGAGATACGATAAGGAAACACCACAATATATTCATACATTTATGATATAAGCGGTCAAATGTACAATTAAACTATTTTTTCATATTTCAAAGTGATGATTAAACGCTTCACGAAAAATCTCTTCGTTTAAAATCGTTGTGTAAATGACGTTTTTTCGTAAGGGGGCGACGGGCGCAGGCATACATGCGAGACCTCAGTCATGCCTGGATCTTCCTCTTTGCTCTGTCACCACCTGCTGTTTTCTAAGCCAACCCCCGTGCGAGCCGCGTGGCGCCCGCACCCACTGGGAGCTCCACTCAGGACTTCTGTTGCCGCAGCGCTGTACTGAGGTCCACCAGCAGGTGGAGCAATCACCTCAAAGTGAAGACTGCATAACATTCCTGGGTCACCTTTTTGCCCTTTCGGATACTTGTCACGTGGATTCCCATCTTTGGTTTTGTCGGTGGGGACTTCCGGTCTATGCAAAGGATTTTGATATTTTGAAGTATAAAAATGCACTCAAATAAAATTTGGGAATACCAGCAGATGATTTATACATGTTTTGCATGACAACTGCTACAGATGACAGAAAAGCTTATGTAAAGCAATCAGTTTTTAAATGCTACCATTCACTTGACTGGAGTGACACACACTTCAGCTATAGGATTAGGTGTATCAGAAAAGTCTTTTTACACGGTGGTCTAAATATATTTTATATCTGCCATCCTGTGACCACATAGAGAAAATGACAGTCCCCATATAAACATTACCGAATAGACCTTCATTTCAGGATTTCTACGCTAGCGGCTGTTTTTGGGACCAGGGTGCAGAATTCAAATAGAATTTGAGTATCTTACTGCCACATTTATGTTGTATCACTTCAATATCGATCGTTAGACTGTCCTGCAAAATGCTGCAATTATACAGCACTGTGTAAACATCTTAGGCAGCAAAAGAAAAGGATGTTTAAATGATTTTCATGTTGGTGTAAAACTAGTATTTTATGCCTGTCAAAATGCATTAGTTTAGCCATTTCAAAACGTCTACTAGAATTACCTCATTATTTCCACCCACGTTTTTTTTTGAGTCGACCACTTGCACACCTCGTATAGCTGATCCATGTCTCATTGATTTTTTAAATAATTAATAAGACTAGTTAATTAAGTGAGCTGATGGTGAAATTTAACGAATACATAGAATGGTTGAGGTGCCCCTGATGAGATGTTTGGGAACCAAAGCTGATTTCTGAACAAGATTCCAGTAACTTTATGGGCAATGGAAGACATTTTTGATAGTTTCAA